CGCTTTGCGAATAACCGTGCTATGAAATGCCGCACAACTGGAGAATTTCAAGAACTTCTTCACGGATACTTATTAGGTTATTTAAAGCGGCAAATGACCACCAAACCATAATCTTAGCAGACGAATGTGCCAATGAAAATCGTAAACGTGAATTGTTGGTGAAAATGTTGGACCAAAAAGTTTTAATAAAATATATAAAAATTTTGGGCGGGACGAAGTTCGCCGGGTCTGCTAGTATGTACATATATGTACATATTTGAATGTCTAAAATTTCCAACTGGGTATTTTATAACCAATCAAGAAACAGCTGATCCTAGCACTTTCTGAACAGCTGGTGCATTCATCGTCGATTAAATGAACTGACGCAATTAGTTGGTAAACCATTCAGTATACCAGTTAACGTTATAAAAACCGTTAAATACGTACTCAAACGAGTTAAATTTTTTTGAATTTACATACATACGTACGCAGCTAGTTAATGATTGGTGACATTTTTTCTCACCAAGTTGTGATTTAATATTATGAATAATAATAAGCAAACAATTAGAATTGTTGGACTGCCTAGAAGTGTATGTTTGGAATAAATAAATAATAATTAATTTATTGCGCATATAATTAGTGCTGCTTTTATTTTAGTTATCAATTCGAAAGCTTTCTATTCTGTTGAATCGTCATAAGCAAGCGTGGAAATTGGAAGATTTAATACCACTAGAGACATGCTTGGTAGCCATAGTTTGCTGTGAAACTGAAGAAACGTATGACAGGTAAGATAAAAAGTATTTATACATTCAGGAATCATCTACTGAGTTTTTTCGCAGCTTTATTAAACTATCGTCAATTCCGCCGTTTTCCTTATTTCCTGGCTTACGAGTTTACAATTTACCTCCTGCAACACACTATACCCAGCAACTAGAATTAAACTTAACATCAACGGCTAGCCTTTTATACCTTAATACTGATTGCCTGCGTATTGTATTCGAACAATGCTCGCTCAAGTGTCAACTGGCCTTAGCCAAGGTGTGCCATTATTTTCACAAAGTCATCGTGGACATTTGGCGCCAGCGTTATGCCACCTTGCTCTTCTCACTTTACCACTTCAAAGTCGTCCATGAACTGAACGACAACGAATTGTGGGATTTTTGCCTGCTGGTCGGTCCGCATGTTCACCGCTTGATATTCAACAGCGTACTCTTCTTCCCCGTCATACAGCGTTTCATTGCCGATCAGCCGGGCAACATGATGCAGAATGCCAAGCGCTACATGAATATCATACTTTGTCGTCATTTAGTGCACTTCGCGCCGCTGCAAAGCTTTGAGGTGCAAGGCAAGTTCCTCGCCGAATATACCGTGCGTGAATTGGCGCGTTACTGTCCGCAGCTGCGTGCGCTGCAGCTGCTGGACGCGGGCACACGCTGGCTGTTGGGTAAACACTTTCACTTGCTACGGCGCGTGGAATTGCTCAACTTGCACGATTGCGAGAACCTGCGGCGTCGTCTAATGCGCAAAACTTGCCATGCCTTACAGCTTAAATCATTGAATTTGGTGGAATGTAAAGAGCTGCTACATCCACCTACCATTTGGCAGCTATGTATGCACTTTCAGATGTTGCAGCAGCTGCATTTGACAGCTCTGGCGGATACACCCTTGCTGGCGGCCATATTGGAGTTGCCAAAATTGAAAGAGTTAAAATTCTACTGGTTAAATGATTTTGTAGAATTCGTGAAATCGCTCTTTACTGAGCTCTCTCTCAGGCGCCGGGAGTCATTGTGTACGTTGCACTGCGCGAATGAGTCTATTTTTCTAGAAAATGCTTCACAGCGCGTTTGGCGTGCGGGTGAATATGCGGCCATGCGTGAGCTGGCGACCATCAATGGGCGACCATGGCAGTGGCAGGAATGCTTCGACGAGTGGTTAAAGTTGTTGGGTGATTGTACATCGCTGGAGTCACTTACCTACGAGTACTGTCGGGTTTTTAGTTACGAACAGATTTTGGCACTACCAAAGATGGGTAGCCATCTGAAATTGATTCGACTTATTGGCTGCCGTGATGAGTGTGATGAGAAATTGATCAGGTCATGGATGCAGCAGCAAAATCAAGGATGTCGGTTGTGCATTGAAGGAGAATTACCTTGGGGTACCGTCCAGGTGAGCGTACACACACATATGTACACATCCAGCCCTGACCGCCAAAAAGATATAAGCGACATTTTTTTTTTTAATTTTATTTTTGATGCAGAATTGTATATGGCTGCTCAAGCAACATTTCTGCATCAAAAAGAAAATTTTGGAAAAAATGTCGCTTACGTCTTTTTGGCGAGAGCTGTAGAAACGTCGTTTAACCGCCCTATTCCACACAGCTTAACAGCTTAAAATAAATTTGAGGCATAGTATTAGGCGCAGTTGTAAAGGCAATAGTCAGCCGCTGAGTTTTGTCAGTGGTGTGGGAATAGGGCGGTAAGTCAAGGCATAACAAGGTAGAAGTGATTTCGACATTTCTCTCTTTTGAACTGCGACTGAAATGTCAACTCTTAACCCTATACCAAGGCGAATTATAAGGTGATAGCAGGAGTACAAAAACAAAAATTTACATGTATTTTGTTGTTGCTTTGACGGCATAAACTGTCAAAATCTGTAAGAGTGTGTGTAGAAATTCAAACAAAATTTTTCAATTTGATATCAGAAGCCGTGCGACGAAACACATACACAAAATCAGCTGAGCTAGTAACACCACCTTATATAAATTCGCCTTGCCCTATACTATTCAAATTTTTTTTTTCATATAAATTTTCAATTGTGAGCTGTGCGACTGATTTTAAATACATAATAAAATGAAAAGGAATTGCGAGCGGTGCGTTGTGTTTGTCAAGAGCCTGGACAACAAACTTGTGCGTTATTTTAAACCTTCGAATTGTCAAGTGAAGCGACAACGGAGGGCAAATTGCTGCGATGTTTCATTAGGAGACTCTTCACGTGGGGTCGTGACTTTATTTGTTGCCTATCGCAGCTGAGTATTTCTAAGTGGACGCGTTTGGTCCCAGGTGCAGGATTTATCATACCGAATATTAAAAGAAAATCTCCCTTTCATATACACACATGAATAGGCCAAATTTCAAATAGTGGTCTGATAAAACCTAAACCAGTATTCCTTGTTGACATAAAGAAACTGAAAGTAATTTTTTCGAATTTCGAATAGCAAAAATTTAATAGCTAAATTATTGAAGTTAAGTTCTAAAGTAAATTTAGAAGAATCAAACTTTTTTTAATGTCTAACATATTTTAGAATTAAGTATTTGAATAAAAAAATAAATGCTCAAAAACATTGGGATAGTAAAAGCAAGAAAATTGTCAAAACGGTTTTATAAATGAGTGTGTTTCATTTAGTGTGTAATTTTGTGTAAGTATGCATTTCCACATTTACATTAAACCGAAAATTCAATAAATAAAATGAAGCTGATTCTAATGAGATTTTAAATATTTTCATATTTACAAAAACTTTCATTCCAAAGATGTTGAGTTCTATCAAATATTGTAAATGCATACCAAAGGGTTAACTTCTTTGTTTACATTTTTTGACATTACAGTCAGGTATGAGAGAGCTCGACTGAATTGTCACTTCTATCTTGTTGAATATGCCTTGGTTTAAGTGCTTCCTATTTACCAAAGTGCCTACAGCCAAACGATTTCCCTTACAAATTTCAGAATGTAAGGTAGTTTTGCGTTTTTTATCGTATATGTTTTACTTGTAATTCCAGCGTTTGAGAGATCGCGTAATGCCCTTTCGCAGGGAAAATAATCACCAGCCTATTTACCGCAGCATTGAATGCCATTTCAAATAACATACAAAAATATATTTACATATGCATAAGTTCATAAAATCAAAATACGAGTACATAACTATTAGTTGCGTTTCCGGTGCTTCACGGTTTGCAGGTTTTTACAGGAAGGTGTTCCCGGTCGCCAACTTCCTTTATTAATGGCGAAAACAGCTTTTACTGCAAAACCTGCAAATCGAGAATTAGCTGGAACTGTGCTATTTTCTATATACATATGTACATATATATTTTTTAGGAACTTTTTGCTAAAAATATAGAACTTGCCAACACCGAAACCTGTTGTACCTCCAAACCAAATTTGGCAGGAGATGATGGAAGCGCCAACAACCAAAAAAACGAAATTAAAAAATAAAGTTTATATTAAAAATAAACGGTTTTTATATGACAAACCTTCGATTTTTCTCTCTCTGACAGTATATAGTAAGAATATTCCCTTCAAGGTGAAGTGCCCGTCTTTTAGGTATGGGGCTACGGTTAAACTGCTCTACTTAATCTCGATTCTTTCATTATGATCGTGCAACAAACCGGTGCTGGATCATTCCGGGCGCAGAAGTCCAGTTAAATGGGAACAGAATTTTACTACCATTCACCTGGGAGTGGCCTGAAGTGATTCTGGTGCATACGGTTCAAATCGCAGCTCCCAACGTCCCAATAGGCAGCGATCAAACACCCGTTTGGGAGCAAGCTAAAGTGAGAAAGCGTAAAACTTTGTTAAAACCCCGCCCAATGGATAAGAAAAACATGCCCCAGATGGGACCCTCTTCTTTTTATGACGAATACGGCAAACGTATAACGGACTATGACTTCAGGGTATGCACCTGGAATAGCTGGCGGATGAACGTCTAGGCGCAATCTGTAGCAAAACAAGATTCTTCAACTTTCGCTCATCTGTGCCCACGCACGGACGGAAGAGAATTACGATGCGTACAAGGATCCCTTCTATGAGTGCTGGGAGCGTAAATTTAATGCCAAGGTGGGCAAGGAAGGAACTTTTGGCGCCACTGTCGGAAAATTCAGCCTCCACGACGAAACGTCCGATAACGGACTGAGGCTAATCGACTTCGCCGGGGCCCGAAACATGGTAATATGCAGTACTAGATTCAAGCATAAAAAGATCCATAAAACTACGTGGCTGTCTCTAGATCGTAAAACTAGAAACCAAATCGAATATTTCGCACTCATTAAGTACCGCCGCCGAAGAAGTAGTCGGATTTCAGCGAGCCCGAAAGAACAACTGGTACGATGAGGAGTTCCAGGAAGCTGCAGAGAAAATAATGTCGTCTACAGAGCCATGCTGCGATTGGACGCAACGCGTGCCATGTGGGACCGTTATAGGAAATTGCAAAAGGCAGTGAGACGTATCTGTCGGCCGAAAAAAAAGCACGATTTTTATATCGTGACGGGGACAGCGGTCGTATGTGTTCTCCAAGCGCTCATAAAAGAGATCCTTGGATGCTTCGTCCTTCTCGTACGTCGGGGCGTGGGCGCAATTAATCGAGGACTACAAATTAATCGTCAAATTACAACGCCCATAGCGGATGACCCTGGGAAATGGAATAGGTATCATGCTTTACGAATTATTAGGGATAATGCCGCCATCCGATTGCTAGATGTTCTCGTCAAACAAATAGCTGCTATACATGGTTTGGAATTTGTGGTTTCGTGAACCCTATAATTCGCACTAAGACCCACTCGCATCAGTGAATGAATTGCCACATTTCGCATCAAAGACTCGCATCAAATACTCAAGAGAGATCCATAAGAGCTTGGACAAGCTACTAGAGGATGATTGACTGCAGTAGAATCTAATACAAGCATCAAAACATCTGGTATAGATATACATATATAAATAGTGTAAGCACTGCGACCAGTAAGTCCATTGTGTTCGCAGCTCATCACAACAATTCAGTAGAAAGTGTTGGTGTACCTCTCTTGGCCATAGATGCCCTATGCTCCTCTCCCTTCTACATGAAATGGCTTGACGCTTCAAGAAGAGCTGTAATGTTTTCGCCTAGGCAGAGTCACAGAAGCGTGTTGGGATGGCGCAGGTCCTATTGGGGTCGGGGCAGAAGCCAATCTGGTTAAATGATGGGCTTTCTCATTTCCTCCGATACCCCTTGGCCCTGGGGGGAGATTCTGTAATCAGTTAGCGTCAAGTTTCAGATCGCTATCGCACTTGTTGACGTAAAAATATTCATATCATACATACAAAAAAAAAGCGATACCGATCCGAAAATTGTCGCTAACTGGTTAGAGAATCTCTCGACCCCACCTGGTATTCATAACAATTGGATAGCAGTATTCATCAGCCATAAGTGTCTTTATTTTTTATTTATTTTTTTTGTGTGATATTCAAAAAGATTTTTGACCCGCTTTCCAGTGCAATTAATTAATACCGGCCATGCCACCTACTCCTAAGTAAAAGACAAACAATATTTTAATACATATGCACCTACATACATACAAATAAATAAAATAAACATAGTGAACTTGTATTACACAAACATTTGTAGTGTTGTTTTCTATAATCAAAGCTCAAACAATCGATTGTTTCTTTAATTATTATAATTTTTTTTTACTATTATACGTTTTTTTTTTTTTAATTTCGTGTCAACATGTTTTTTGCATAATTGAAAATGTACAAATAAACAAAGAAAAAATCTCACAACAGTTTTTTTTTTCATCTCTGCCCGTTTCGCTTCGTTCGCGACGAGTTCATTCGTGGGCCAAATGTTGAAAATCCACAACCGACACAGACAAATTCGTATTATTATATGCTGCAAAGTTGTTAAAGTTGTCGAAGTAGTACATATGTATATAAAAATTCAACATCTAAGTATAGAGTACCGGCGATTTCCGTAGTTTAAAAGTTTTGTTCTGCAAATAACTAAGCCTTCGGTTTGTGTATAAATAAGACTGTGAAACAGAATTTCTAGCTTATTATAAGTTTTTCGCTTGCATAGTCAAGTTCATTAAAAGTTTTCTTTGCAGTTTTGCACGGTATATTAAATTGAAGAAGGTACTCAAAAAAAAAAAAAACATTGGAAAATTTTTATGATAAGTGGTGTGTTTATTGGAAAAAAATTAAAATACAATAAAAATTACTTCCATTCCATGCTTGCCTGCCTTATTTGCCTTGAACAAATCGAGTATTAAAATTAAGGGAACTTTTGTGAAAAACTCTTGAAAGTTTAAAATACATACATATGTATGTATGTCCAAGTAATTGCATCAAAATCGGTGTTGAAAAATAAATATATGCAAAAAAAATAAAATAAATTTAAAACTCAAAAATAAAGATATGTAACTAAATACACACAAACATAGTTAGGTTCCCTCTGCATGCTTTAATTTGTGGTGTCTATCCTAATGTTGTCATACAAGTGTAGAGACCAGAGGGTTACCTCACATTCAAATGGTGGATCGATTATAACAAAAAAAAAAAGAATAAATAAAAACAAGAAAAATGATCAAAAAAGAAAACAAAAAACTTTCTTCTTGCATGTAAAAATAGAATATCTTGCAGAATCTTCTTCTCTAACAACCGAGAACAATCTCAAAGGATTCTTCCTCGCCACATATTAGAACCACGACGACAGAAGGCTGTTTCTAAATTAGCAACCCGGCGTGCTTCATTGCGCCTTAAAAGTATTTTTGTGTTGTTACTCCCTCCCAAAACGCTTATGACTTCATTCAAAAAAAAAAAATATAATAGATTTGAATAAATTTTGGATATATGAAACACACTTCATTTTTTATGAATAAGTGTGTTAGTTAATACATTTTCAAAGGTATTTAATCCTGAAAATTTAATTAACACTCTTGTAACTCGATTCTACATATCGCGCACTTTCTTCAAAGATATATTAATTAAATATTCACCTTATCTTACCACTCTGAAAAATATTTTTGGCAGTCAATTTCCCTAAACCACTTTAACTTGATATCCATATTGCAACATTTACTTTATCTTATCAATTTAGTTAAACTGCAATTCTCAAACAGGTGGCAACTCTCTAATAATATTTTTCCTATATTTTAAGTTAGACCTTTAGTAAAGCATCGGTGAAAACTGCATTTGATTCCATACATAAGTTTTCGATTGATGCGCGTAAAAACATACAGACGCAGACAGACGGACAAACATTCTAAAAATTGTTGATTTGCCTGTTGATAGGCCTGTTACAATTTTATTTTGGTACAGATTTCTAAGTCAACGTAAAATCTATTAATTCGACTTCCCCAAATAAAGGAACTCGGATAGGTCATCTTCAATTCGAAAGGGAGACGAAATGTATGTACATATGTGTCGTGAAGTTCTCATAGAGAGAGACAGCGGGGGAAAAGCGGGATTTCTTCTGAATTACGAAAAGTATACTAAGATACCAATTTCGAGCTTATTTTCACAAGTCTAGCTTATCAGCTAGTAAAAGGATTTTCAATAACGGCGAGTTGGCGTGGAATAAAAAAGCTGTTTTTCAGCCTTTAACGCAATTCCTTTTTTTTTTGTTATTGAGGAGGATCATAAACATATGTATGTACATACATATGTAGTTTGTCTTTACGCGCGTCTGTTGGGTCTTCTCACTGGGGCACGATAATACTTTGACATATTTAAAAACTGTACAACTTTTTCTGCACACCTTTTTACTAGGATGATAAAAATTAGAACATTTTTTTAACCTTTAACCCGATTAGTCAACATCTTTTCCAAAACTGTTGGTGTTAGTATTTTAATATTCTAAAATCTGAGCATCCATTACGTAAAACCACAAATTTAAATATGCTAAATAAATATTGTCCATTGTATACACATAAAACATCTACTATTTCTTCTAATATTCATGTGTAGCAAGACAAGTTTTCTGCGTTAGCCTTTAAAAACCAATTTCTAGTATATTGGAGCCAACAACATTTTAAGATCATTAAACAAAAGCTAGTCAAAAGCCTAAGTGCAGCGCATTTAATTTGTAATACATACATACATATGTACATACATACATATGTATACACGTTTTACAATTAAATTTTGGGTTGGTAAATTTTTGTTTATCGATTTATTTGATGAATTTTCTAGGTATATGGCTGACCGGTTTTAGCAAGCTTTGATATTTGTCTATACTTGTACATGTTTGTAAGCTTAAAGTATGTAGATAAAGGCAGTATAAGAACATAAAATTTGAACGTTCAACATCTCGTGAACTTTTTTTCTCACTTGTATGTATAAGCACGTTTTTTACGCTTAATTTATTACAAATAGTTCTGCTGCTCGCGCCAGTGACTGAAAAAAGCTGCAATAAAAAACCAATATCCCACAAGTTCGCTGCTTAA